ATTTTTTTAAAATATTAATTCTTCTAAATAAATTTTAAAAATACTACTCTCCTATCAATATTCAAACTCACACCCACTCTCACCGATTATTACTCAATCCATCCACACAGCTAATGCAATGAAGAATACTTGACTCATTGATCAATAGGATAATAAAGGGTAAAATTGACTCACACTTTTACCAATCCAGTTTTCATGCTACTCAATAAATAACTCAATCCTTTGGAATTCATTTTGTTAAATTCAAACCTTCAAAAATCTACACATTTTTACACAGTTCCGGGAGCTTAGCTAGATTAAGGAGGTAAAGAAGGATTATTTACTATTAAATAGATATAATCTATATTAATAATTTTTGACTAAATCACAGATAGCATTCTGTAAACTTCTCTTCGCACCTCTAGAATTCAGAAAAGAAATGCACCTATCTCCATAAGAATTCATTTTTAATTTAAAGGTTTTCCTTAGACTATGCATTTAATAATCCCTTCACAAGCACATCATACCAAAATCCATTAATAATGAAAAATATTCTGTCTTAAAGATGCTTCCACCTTTGACGCCAAAAAATAGTCTACTTTGTACAACACCGACACCAACGTTAGATCTATCATGATCGAAATTTCACAGAGATTATAAAACTTTGTACTGTTTCTACTAAATTGCACACTCAAATAAATCTATGAAAAAATTAATTCTAAATTTACATATATATATATATAAAAAGGCCATAAGAAATTATCTTCACTGCGCTCAAGTGAATAACAAAATATTTATTTTTATCATCTATATATATTCAATATACCTTAGGACGAATGAGTCGAATTTATTTATAACTATATCAAATTTATCAATAAAGTGGTGATTATCTCCAAATTCACTAACTTACGAAACTAACTAGTTTTCTTGTATTATAAACATCACTTATTATACATTCAAATTATTATGAATATAATCAACCTATTCACTCCATAACGTAATTTTAAAATAAGCTAATGTGTTAATTATATAAATAAATAATAAGTTAATATAAAAGAAATTTACACATATCTTATAAATTAAATCATAGATATAAAAATATAGTGGTTGTATGAAGAGGATAATTACTTTATACGTGAACATAATTGTTGTATTTTGTACCTATTAATTAGTAAGAGAAATACAATAACGCTAATACTCAAAGGATTGAGTAATATATAGTAAACATGTAAATTCTTTTAACTCATTGACAGTACATTACGATAAGATGCATCTCTCAACAACAGACCGCCAGGATTTCTCGTCTCTATATAATATTAAGGAGTGTCTATTCTCATAGAAGACAATCTGGTAAATAATGATGTCATTCTAAAATTTGCACAGTGCTAACATATACCTATATATATATATGAGTAACAAAGTCAAGTATTAGCCATTAGAGTCCTTATTGTATAACTACTGCAATTACTAACTATATAAATTCAACTCATGGTGTGAGTCTCTATATATATAATTTTTTGGAGTTTGTAAATATTACATAAACTCATATACAAATACTTTACATTAGATCTAGATATGTACTACCACATTTACAAATGCATTCAAACTATAGATACAAATTTATAAATTCCATAATTATTATGAGACATGTTAATAAATGCAGTCAGAGGATATAGTTTGGGAAAGCTCATAGAATATCTCTAACTTTACCTCAACTTAAAAAAAAATAGACGTATAGTACTAAAATAAATAGTTTATTATCATAGTTAAGAGTGCATCAGAGAGATTCATTCTTAATGCTATTTTGTCACAAATTCGTATCAGATTGGATAGCAAGAGACTCAAAACCGAACTTCGAAGATTAAGCTAGTAAAATCCATATTTCCACACATACCAGCGTATATGCTATATTAGAATAGTCCGCGCTGAGTCCAACTTTTGTTTCTCTCTCTTAAATCTATAGCTCTCAAGATACGAAAATTAAACATGAATTTATTCTTGGATTATCGAATCTTTCTGTAGGAACCGGGAGTATTAAACTCACACATAAATATTTTGGACGAGGGGATTAGACGTACCTTTATCTTTTATTCTTTTATGTTCATCATCACCAAATGGTCCTTTTCCTCCTTAGGAGGTTCTATGATTCGCGTTCTCTTTCCCAGTCTTTAAGTGAAGGCTAGGGCACAGTTCAACATTCTATTGATTTCAGAGTTAAGATTCCAATGTCGAGGGACGTTTCACCTATGCAAACCGAAGACTTCATATACGCCTAAAGAAACTAAAGAAGAGTCGTGATTAGAGTGCAACTTCTTCTTTATGTTCTATTTTTCGATCATTTGATTCATTACACTTGAGACTGCTTGACACATTTTCTAAATCGATCAATTTATGTTGTTACTATTTTAATTTCATGGCTAGCAAATATTCTTGAATATTCTTGCGGTGTCTAACGGACGCAACTCCTTTGTTTGTAATTTTTATAGATAACACTATGTACCATGGCTCCTCTCATGTTCCTTTATCCTCGCCTTCTCTACCCTGCAGCCCGACGCGACAGACTCCATTGCATATTGATAGACTATCTCAATAAGTAATTATGGCTGTCGTGCTGCATATATTGCTCCTACTACTAATTTGAGAACTATATCACTATATTACCATTTCGGTGTAAGTTAGAGAAGTTAGATTGTCATCACTACTTCACACCCTCCATTGTCCTTACAACGGATTTATCGTTACATAATTAGGGTATGAACTAAAACGGGACTCCTTTCGATGCCTTTTATTTACTTATGGTCATTCTTCCATAGTGTCTCAATAAAAGTTTGGAGCTGGGTTCTAGGAATTATGTGAGTATATACTTATTATAAGGAAGGATAGGATAGACATCACCTGTGTCAAAGAGTACCTACAGGACTGGAAGCATATTCGACGAGCCGGGAGAATCACTAGGGATGCGATATGGGCGTTCTGGTGAGCTATAAAATAAAGAAGAGTTTACTTAGAGAAGCTGAGCTAAAGTCGTCAGACGCGAGTTTACATAGATTCCGAGTCTTGAGCGAGCTGCAAGTTTTTATCACTGTGGTAATGAGGGGTATGTATCATTTATCGTACTTAGCAGTATTTTTAAGCTGGAGGGATAATGAATCCCATAGCCTGATTTGTTTTCATCTGACTCAGGATTAAGAAAGAGATAGTGGTATTGAGCGATCCATTTGGGTTAGAAGTAGAGCACAGGGTGAACATGAAAAGATTTAAAATCTGGTTGCGTAAGTTTATATATCTATTCTAAGACAGAGCTTACACTGTTCCCTCATATGTCTTATAGTCTAATTTACATCGGATACATGCACATTTTAATATTCGGCGTGTTGGTAACGTTTCATACTAAAAATACTAAGCATATTTTCACAATGATAACGCTTTTTCTTGTACCATTCATCATACTAGGAATAAAAGTGTGGAAAGCCATAATACATTTACACTAAGAGAATTATTTCCTTTCAATATAAAATATCTATATATTAATTTTTAAAAAGGGCTTATAATTGTATAAATAAATTCTTATTAAACTAATGACAAGTCAAATTAATAATTGCCTTATTGATATTGTTATTTCATCCCTAGGGTTTTTCTCTTGATTTATTGACTTTACATCGAAAATTTTGTCAAAAAGGATACAGAAGAGACCAAGTGTAGGTTCTTTGCTTCTGAATTCCCCGAAGGCGCCAGTCTTAAAGTCCGAGGATAGGGACTTGTATCTGTCCTATTCACTCAGCATTTGTCAATATTGCACTTATTAGTAGCATTATTGGGGATGTTATGATTGGTCAGATATGATGCTGATTAAGTGAAGAGCCATCTTTATTTTGTGCCTTGTATTATGGTTCTAGATGATTGAGGAGGATCTCCTTATAAAAGAACGTACAAAAAATTAGGGTGAAAGTCTGTAATAGTGGCTTGAGCTGATGAGAATCAAAGTATCACTATGATCAGGACCACTCATGGAGACTTTCGATGATAAGTTAATACACCCGGAGTATTGGTCACCCTGATTAGCTGGATTTAGATCTGAAAATAGTTCAACGTAACAAAGTATCAAAAGTAGCAATTTTTGCTTGATCGCAAGACAATAAATTTAGAGAGTTGAACCTGCATTAGCGCTCCTTCTTTACTCCCTAATTCTCTCACAGAAATGGTCTCAATAGCTTTTTTCAATATTATTAACTATGGTGAACACTGCTGTAGTTCCTTCTATGAGCGTAATCCATATCTCCTCTTTTATCTTTTTTTTTTACCTAGAGTTTTCTTCAATTAGGCACATAGTGAAAACATTTCAATTGTTGTTAAGTTTAAATTATAGGGATGTCAATCGATAGATTGTCTATTTAAAGGCTATGGTATGACATAAATTTCGGTTAGGGAATATATTTTTTTTTATATAATGGTGAACTAAAAAAGTTACTAAATGATAGTGGTAGTGAAAATTTATTCCATTTTGCTTCCTCTAATGCGTCTAATCTAAAATATAGACACAATATTGAAAAATACAAGAAATTATCAATAGAGAAAATAAAAAAGCTTAATAAAATGTCGAAAAAATAAAATAATTTTTATAATTATTATATTCTAGTAGATCTAATTGTGAAAATGTTATCATGATTAATTTTAAAATTATATTTTTTTTTAAATATGAGTGTAATATAAAAAATAATTGGTTATTATTATATATGTATTTATTTTAAAATAAACTTAATAATTTTTAAAATTTATCTTGACCAATTTTTTTAAAGATATCATGATCAATTTTTTACCTTTCATTAAAAATATTAAAAATTAATTGAAATTATAACCAAATAAATTATGATAATGATGTGTAAATAATATGCGAAAAAGTTATCCCAAATGCACCTTAGTTTTTTTTTTTTTTTTCTTTCTTTTTTTTGGTGTCTAACCCTAATTTAAATAACAATCTATTAAATTTTTTTTTTCTAGTTAGTTATCTCATCTATAGTAGTGCCTAGTGCTAATGAGCAAGACATTTATGGGTAAATTATAAATACTCAGCCCAATTCAATTGTATTTATAAAAAGAAAATAAGTTAGAAAATATTTTATTTCATTAAAAATGTAGTGTGGTTTCAACAAGTAAATACTCTGGTGATGTGATTAGAAAATAAGCTGAGAAATATTTTATTTCATTAAAAATGTAAGAAATTGATTCATTATATTGACTTTAATTTCTATTTATGTCACTATATTATTTTTGTATATATTTTTTAATAAGGGGGTATATATGGCACTATTAGAAATTAAATTTGTTATAGTATGTTAGATCTCTATGTTTGTAAATTCCATGACGCTAGATGATAGTACCGCTCTTGCATCTCATCGTGGACCTTGTAAACAATCATGAAAATTTTTGACTAGTGCTTGTATGATAACTCTTGTTTATTTGACAACACACATGAACTATCCAAGTTTTTTTTGAAAGTATATGAGGTGCTCCTCATATGGTGAAATTATTCTGTGCGGATACGGACGCCGTCTGAAGGTGAATCAGAATATGCCACGACACCCGTTTGATGTATACCGCGACTGTGTACAACTGTGTACCGAATGACATGACGTATTTTGATTCATCTCCAGACGATCCGGTGTCCGCACAGAATAATTTCTCCCTCATATGACTATATGAGGTTCTTAAGACTGTTGAAAGATAAGTCATTTCACAATTTAATAAAAAAACATGCTTAACATAAATAGTTTTTGCATATAGAGTTGGATGATTCATTTATATCTTATTTATAATGACAACTATAGAGCGTATTTAATGCAACAAATCACATATTTGATTTCAAAGAAGAATATTATAGAAGTTGATCACATAAAATTATACATTGATCGTTTTTATGTAGATTTATTTTACTATAATGTTGATCTATAGGTACTTTAAATGTACTCTATATTTATAGGCTCATTCAAATATACATTTCCTTCCCATTACACATCTTATAAATTACTTCTATATATGTGTGCATGTGTGTGTGTATGTTGTTATGTATGTTATAGCTCCTCATTTGCACTTTGTCATTTGTATGTTAGAACTCTTTAAATACACATTTTTGTGCTATGGCTTCCCTATTACATCCCTTATAATTGCTACATTATAGTTGTTGTATTGCACTTGAGCTAAAACTATTGTAATGACATGTTAAATCTGTTATAATCTAATATGTAATGTATTTACCATATAATTAATGTGTTATAATGTTGTATTATAATTCATATTCGATTATTATTCAAATAAAGTTCAAACATTTTTCGAGCTTTTTTTATCATTCTTTGAAATAATTTCAAAACCTCTTCAAACTTTTTTGGTGGATCTTTGAATCTTATTCGATTCTATTTTCAAATATTTGAGTGCATGGTTGAGCATTCTTTGAAGCAATTTCGAATCTAAATATTAGGATGCATGATTCGAACCTTTTTCAAATATTGGGTGACAAAGAGTTAATGAGGGGTAATTAAGGAGATGAAATGTTACATAGCTCCTATGATTAAGAGAAGGAAGAAATGAAATTGCAGTCCTCATTCCAAATGGTATTTCAAATGTAGGTGTTTTGAAAATTTTGATGTTTTATTAGATGAAAAGAAATGTAAAGTAAAATAAATGTATTGTAAACAATTCTAATTTATTTTTTAGGCAAACCAAACCATTTTAGTTTTGATCGAGAACGGTATACACTACAAGCAAGCTCACTTGAACGCTGTCGGTCGTCACAAGCTGGCTCCACCTGCCTCCGACCACTACCGTCGCCACCTGCTGGCCACCACCATTATTGTCGGTCACCATCACCTATTACCAGCCACCATTGCCACTAGGCATTGTAGTCACCACCGTTATAGTCATCTGCCGCCACCCACCACCCACCATGGGCCTCAGTCAACCACCCATTGCCACCGGCATCCGCTACCACTAGCACATTATCATCATCTTTAAACTTCACATTATATTCATTTTATTTCAAAAAAAAAAAGAAAAATACATCATATGATTTATTTTACGTCTAAATACTTCAAAATATTTCTTTTCGGTTGCATTCTTTTAAGCCAACTAAACAACCCCAGGAGAACGACTAATTTTCTCTACACCAATCAGACGGCCTTGACTAATCAATTAGTATTCTGATTTCCAAAGCTCTTAAGCCTCACTAAAGCCCTTCCATCCTTCTTCCGATCTATGGCAAGAACCTCAGTTGCCTAATCCATGGCTTCTCCTCCTTCCTCCCCTCCTGTTCCCAAGAAGCTCAAGATGTCCACAACAAGCACCTCATCCGCCGATGAGGCAGATCCTGCTGCCGTACCACCTACTACCGCCGAACCAAATCGCCGGCGATACAAACGCCGCAAGATCGCAATTTTCCTCTCCTACTGCGGTGCCGGCTACCAAGGAATGCAGAAGAATCCTGGTGCTCGCACCATCGAGGGCGAGTTTGAAGAAGCTCTCTTCCACGCCGGCGCCGTACCGGAGTCCGACCGCGGAAATCCGAAACGATACGATTGGGCTCGAGCTGCTCGCACCGATAAGGGCGTTAGTGCTGCCGGTCAGGTCGTCTCCGGCCGTTTCTACATTGATCCACCCGGTCTTATTGATCGTTTGAACTCACTACTTGCAGATCAGATTAGGGTTTTTGGGTTCAAGCGGGTTACGGCTTCCTTTAATGCGAAAAAGTTTTGTGATCGTCGTAGGTATGTTTATCTTCTACCTGTTTTCGCACTCGATGCTAATGCTCATCCCGATCGAGAGAGTGTGGTAGCGAGCTTGGGATCCGAGAATGAGCTCGCTCGGTGTTTAGAGTGTTCGGAAAGGGGACGAAAGGTGTTTGGCGTGATGAGAAGTCAATTGAAAGGTTCGAAAGAAGAGAAAATATCTGAGCTTGGTAGAGATGAAAGTGGACGTCCTGAAGAGATGGAGACGGAAGGTAAAACAGAAGTTTTGGGGACAGAAAATGAGCCTGGCGAAGGGAAAGAACTTGATGCTCTGTCCAATCTAGAATCTGCGGATGTTGGTACAGAACTAGAGAATGGAGGAGAAGCAAATGGAACTAAAGAGCAGCCTGTGTCTAAGAACAAGGCTTCGGCAGTAGAGGAAGGTGCAGAATCTGTTGTTCTAGATGGTGCCAATGAAGAAAAAATAACAAGAACTGCAAGTACTTACATATATGGGGACATGGAGAGGGAGAGTTTTAATAGTATTCTGAATCGTTATGTAGGGACACATAACTTCCATAATTTCACAACAAGAACTAAGGCTGAGGACCCCTCAGCTCGGCGGTATATCATTTCTTTTAATGCTGATTCGGTTATCACTATTGGAGGGATTGAGTTTATCAAATGTGAGGTTGTTGGTCAGAGCTTCATGCTCCATCAAATTCGAAAAATGATTGGTCTTGCAGTTGCATTGATGAGGAAATGTGCACCAGAATCGCTTATGGACAAAGCTTTGAGACCGTAAGATCTTTTTTAATATAGTTTGTGGATTATTTCTTTCATTTTTTTGGTCTTGTATTTCTACCGATTAGCCATTTTTTCAGGGATGTTAACATTAATGTTCCAACTGCACCTGAGGTTGGGTTGTACTTAGATGAATGTTTCTTTTCTTCTTATAACAAGAAGTGGAAGGACTCGCATGAGGCTCTTACCATGGAAGCTTATGCAGAGGAGGTTGAGGAATTCAAATTGAAACACATATACTCTCATATAGCATCTATGGAGTACAAAGAAGGAGCTGTTGCACTATGGCTTCATTCTTTGAACCATCGTAACTATCCTGATTTTAGAATGGAAGAGCTTAAAAAGGAAAATGCCACTGTAGAGACTGAAGTTGATGATCTAGTCACTTGAACTATTTCTAGAATTTCTTATCACGATGATTTAATGCAGGTAGGAAAGAAGGTTTGCATGCAGCTACCAAGTTTGATTATTTACTGCAGACATTTTTTTGTGCTAATTGCTGATCTTTCTTTTGAAAAATGTATTATTTTACGTTCTTACGTTGCGGTCTTTTGGTATGCCCATGCATGACTAGCTGTTGAAGTTCATCCATGGAAAATGTGCCAATTGTCAATTTTTCTTGAGCAAGAAATGAAATTTTCCAATGACAGTGCATGAAAGAAAAAAAAGCCTTAGCAGGCTAACTAGCATGAGGAGTCTAACATGCCCTACCTTCTAGGGAAAACTATTTGTGCCAAAATGCTAATTTCAACTTTTAATTTTTGCTTTGATTCGGTGATTTTAAAATGTTTCCCCATAAATCCAAATAAACTAGGAATATACTTTTCAATTCCTCAGTTAGCGTGGCCGACAACTCCGAACAAACTGTGTGATCCCCAATAGCTTTTCTCAACTGAGATGAGTGGAAAACTGAATGTCTGATAGAGATGGGGGTAACATCACGATAAGCTACTGCTCCAATCTTCTCCGATATCGCATAAGGGCCAAAATGTTTCCTTGTAAATCCAAATAAACAAGGAATATACTTTTCAATTGTTATGTTATTATTTTGGCAATTGTCATATTGTCATGGTAAAGGCTGTTTTTTTTATCTGATAACTTTATTAATATGGTATGCCAAAGCTTTTCGTTTGGAAAAGCCTCGGAGCTTTACTTGTATTGCAAATCATCATTTGAATGTTTAAATGACTGAAGTAGGATCTATAAATGGGTTTTGGAGGCATATCTTTTCAGGACTTCAGATTGAATTCACTTATTGAGCAAGAATTGTTATCATGTTATGGATAAATGCTTTTTCTTTGAGATATTTGCAAGGTGTCCTATATTAAGGTTTGTATTCTGCTATTTGTTGTTTGTTTGTTTGCATTGTTATCATGGAAGTTGAATGTATTCTAATTCAGGCTTTGTTTGTGATAGCTTTCTTACTACTTTCTAAAGTTATTTTATACAAAAAAATTTTGGACTAAAAATTTTTGCACTTGAAAGTTACTTTAGAAAGTAATTAGAAAGTTGTTCCAAACGAAGCCTCAATGTAGTAATCGAAAGCAACCTATTACATGCTTGAATTGATTGTAGTATTTTGAACCTTGTTCAATTTCTGCTTGTAAATAACGTTGTTCAAAACAAACCTACATGTTCCAATTCATTTTCCACTATGCTATGCAGACTAGACTTCATCATGCATTTTGGCGGCTGGTCGGAAATACCTTGTTGCAGTAGTTTTCCTAATAGATCTCTTATCAGATTTAGAAGTTCTCATAATTCGAGAGATTGTGCGTGTTTTAGGCTTTTAGCTATTGAATTTATTAGATAATATTTCTTGTCTCTACTTCATCTTTTCTTTTTTAGCAGTTTGTCCTTAATTTCTCAGTTAGTTTATATAGATTCAGTTTCAGGAATATTTTTATATTGTAGATCTCTTGTATCACTTATAGAACTATATATATCCAGTCTTAATATCCTGCCATGACTATGCTTCCGGCAAGGTTTTGATGACCGGACCGGATATTGAACCTAAAGATGGAGATGTTCAATATTCAAAGTTTAACCGGGGTTGAATTTAATAATGTAATAAATATTAAAATTATTTTAATACAACTTAAATGATATAATAATGATATTTCACCAATTCAATATACAATATTCTAAATTGTTGATTGTAAATCAAAATTTTGCGACATCATAGTTTGATTATTTTCATTATGTTTTATAAGTAGATGGCTGTAAAAATATATTGAATACTATTACTAGATTGACACGTCAATAACAGCCAAAATTTAAGGAAGCTTCGTCAACTTCTCTTTATATATTTATTAGATATTTAACTGCAAAGAATTTGGGAGTTCACTCATTTGGGTATATAGATTAAAGTATTTTTTTAATCTAAATATTTTATTTTTTAGCAATTTGATCAAAAGGAAAAGGTTATAAATTGATCAATATTAGAACTAGGTTGTTCATAAAAAACTCAACTGGTTCACCAATTCCCCGATTACTTGGCTACTAGTTTTGACTAATTCTGGTTGGTTATGTGCGAAAATAGTTTGGAGACAAATGAATCTGATGAACCTGATGATTTTATTGTGAGGGAATTAGGAAGTTTTCTAATCAAGAGGGAGTTGTTTACAAATGTTCTTAATCAAAGGGGATTAATTAGAAGATATTTTCTAATTGAATAGAGCATATTTAGGGCCTAATTTGGGGGTTGATTTAGCGGGGATTAATTAAGAAATATTTTCTAATTGAAGAGGACAGATTTGGTGGTTGATTTGGAGGGGATTAATTAGGAAATGTTTTATAATTGAAGAGCGAGATTTGGGGGCTGATTTGGGAGGGAAATAATTAAGAAAATATGAGGGAATTGGGGGAGGGTTGTGTGGATATTTGTTGTTTATTTATTTGCTTTAACTAATTGATTTTCCTAGGGTTAGGGGTATGTGTCGTTTGCTGAATTTAGATTATTCTTAGGGTGTGTGGGCTCTAGCCGGCGGCTAGAGTTTTGGGAGAATTGGATCTTCCTCTCCGATTGAAGATTCAATTGTATATGATCTTTTCTTTCATAAAACTTTCAATAAAAAATATTATTGTGTGTTTAATTCCTGATTTTCTTGTCGTTGGTTTTCTGACATTGCTAAAATCAGATTTTAGTCAAGTCTTTTCCCAAATTTCTGCAAGCACTTCTTATCAAATTGGTATCGGAGCAATTCCTGGGCTGAAATAGAAGTCTTCCTTGTTGATTTCTGTTGTGTTTTCCTATCTGATCTTGCTGTTTTTTTTTTTTTTGCTATTTGGAGGCTAGATTTGCAAAGTTATTTTTTATTGTTGGAGCTTAGATCCTATTACCCACGGCAAGAAGAAAGATAGAACTATTGGAGGGGAAAATCAGACAATTGAAATATGAACTTTTGTACAAACTCAATTTTTTTAGATTTCAAAAGTCAAATTTCGGCCGTCCTTAAGAAGATCGATGGGAAATTTTTCATCTTGGAGAAGATGTTGAAATTTTTTTTTGAATGCCAACCTAACAGGGAGGATGGGGAGGTGAAAATTTTAGGGGAAGAAGATGAGATGCCACCTTTAGAGTCACTTCTAAGGAGGGGAAAGGGGGAAGGAGTAAGATTTTTTATGGAGCTGCAGAGTTTGAAAGGAGAAGAAGATGAGGAGAAGATATCAGACATGTAGTATCGAGAGGTGTTCAAGCCAATATAGGATTGTCTCATCTGTTGGAACACAAGCATGCTATTATTTTTAAGGAAGAAGTTTCATATATCAGTGTTCATCTGCATCGTTCTCCCCAACTCCAAAAGGATGAGATTGAGAGATTGATCCGGGAGATGTTGGAGGCAGGGATTATTCGACCCAGTGATATTCCATTTTTCAGTCTAGTGCGCTTCAGCAACAGTTTCCTTCGTTCCACCTTGAGGACAAGGTGGCACTTTCGGATGGAGAATTGATGGACCGGCCGATTTGATTGGGAGGGAATTATGAAGTTTCCTAATCAAGAGGGAGTTGTTTATGAAGGTTCTTAATCAAAGGGGATTAATTAGGAGATGTTTCCTTATTGAAGATATCATATTTTGGGGCTGATTTAAAGAGATTAATTATGGAATATTTCCTAATTGAAGATGGCAGATTTGTGGATTAATTAGGAAATATTTCCTAATCAACCATGGTTTTTCCTAAATTTCTGCAAGCACTTCCTATCGGAATCATTGTAAGATTGTTTCATAGTTGAACCAGTCATAACGGTCAGTTCAGTTGGATTTTTAAAGCCATGCTTGCAACTATGGTTCATATTAACATTTTTTTTGTATTTTTTTGGGTCCAAATTGTGATAAAAATTTTTTAGTTGTGTAAATAAAACACAATGGGCATTAAAAGAGATGTGCAATATTTTATGGTGCAGAATGTTTGTCATTAAAGAGAAGCATAAAATTAAGTTAATTTTTGTAGAAATGAGAATGCTTAGGTGGATGAGTGACTTTACACTTAAGGCTATTTGTTTGGAATACTGTAGGGTGTAAAGTAGAGTAAATGCAGGAGTTTTAACATTTTGGGTGTTGTTTATTTTGACATCCGAGTAAAGTGAAATAAAATCATAATGTATTTTGAACTCCTTGTTGTAGTTCATTTTTTGCTTAGAGTAAACCCGTTCAATATCGAGCGAAAAATGAATTCACAAGATGTGGGCTAGAGAAAGAAGTATGTTTCTTCCTCCATTTTCGCGGGAACCATCTTCATTTCTTCTCCATTGTCACGGGAACTCATCGTCGTTTTTTCCTCCGAGTTCAGAGCGTTGTCAGCGACAGGTACGAACACGGCTGCTGATACTTGTGGCCATTGCACACTGTCGCATACAGACAGATTGCCCTGTCCAGGCCATGTTCTCAATTCCAGACCAGGTTTCCTTCTCTTCTTCATGGACTTTCGTCCTGCTTTGCTTTGGTTATTTGTGCATCTCATATTTTCCCCACTTTCATTTGTTGTGGGGCCATTACAGATTGATTCCATTGGTAAATCTTATAGATTATTGCGATAGTTGCTTGCTTTGTGTTGTTTCCCTCACTTGGAGGGCAATAAGTCTTTCTTCTGACTGAATCTTTTGTTGTGTTCCAATTTTCCGGTTTTGCTGTTGAATCTTTAGGTTCGACCTTTGGTTGCATGTTGTTGAGATATGTATTGAGACTTAAATTTGGGGAAGAGTTGATATTTGGGCTTCATTCCTGGTGTTTGGTGCTTCTATGGAGATTGAATGTTATTAGTTATTTTGTTTTTCTGATGGAAATCCCACTTATGCTCCTGCTAATTGGATGAAATTTCCTTCAATTTTGGGTTTTTTTTTCTTCTCAATCTTGAGGTTTTAGTTCTAATTGCACATTGTTAAAGATTGAATGGATATATTTTTCGTTGGATCTGTACTGATTTTACTTTATTTTGCATAAACCCAATCAAACAGAAAAAAAATATTTACCTTGCATTCACTTTACAGACAACCAAACAGTCTCAAAGTATTTACTTTATAATCAATCAAATAACCCCTGAGACAGAATGCAAAATGAGTATATATATAAAAAGATTGGAATAGCTCTAGTGGCAGATAAACTCAGAGGTCGCCTTAGATAGTTTGGTCACATAAAATGTCGGCCTTTGGATGACCCTATTATGAGAGTGTAGATGTATTAGATTCAACCTATTTTAAGAAAAATAGTAGTAGACATAAAAAGATTTGGTTAGAAAGTATTAAACATGAACTCTTTTTTATTAGATTTAAATGAAAATTCAACTCTTAATAGGACTTAATGGGAAACAAAATTCATATAGCCTCCAACCGGATAAAGACTTGTTGTTATTGTTTGCTGCTGCTGTTATTGTTCTTAAGTAAATAAAACACGTAGCCAAAGCACCAACATGCCTGCACTGGTAACTTTCTTTGATTTCTACAGTTCATAGATGTTGAAATAGGTGGTTGGGATTAGGCTAATAATAATTGCAGTGATGATAATCTCGAGTTTATATAATCTTTAGAGAATTCTTCTCTGTACAGCTTTTAGAATGTTAGGAAAGATTTAAGTGATCTGCTTTGTTCAATTCTTTATAGCTTTTTCTTGTTCAATAGTAGTCTGAGCCTTTGTGTGGCACTGGCAATTGGCATCATAATGAGAAGAGTTAGCATCAGCTAAAATTATTTTCAAATTTTTTAGAAGAAAATCTGTAATAAATGAAGCTGGAAGTGGAGACCGGAGAATGAGGGTAAGATCTGGGAATAATTTCATTCAAAGATTATATGAGAAGAGTTGAATTAGGCATGCTGGGCCTTCAAAATTTTATCTGAATTGTATGAGTACATGCCTACTGGAATGAACAGAAGCAAGGAAAGTTTTCTTGATAATTTGAGTAGAAGCAGTGGCAGAGTTGGAAAATCTCTAATCAGTCGACGCAGATCAGGTCACAAATTATCTTATTTTCGCTTTTATCAAACATATATAGAGTTAGGTAAGTTTTTTTTTTTTTTGGTTTAATGTGATATAAAGTTTTTTATTCTTTGTAAGTTTAGTGGTATTCATTGTTCTGAAGTCTTTTCTTGAATTTATTATTTCTTCTTTTTCATTCATTTGTCAATATTTTTATTTTTATCATGTAATGGTTAATAGAAAATATATTTTTAAAATAATAAATTTATTTTAATTTTTTATGTCCAAGTAAGATCGTTACATTTAACATTGTTTTTTAAGAAAATTATGAAGTTTAAAGCCATTTTTTATTTTTAGTGAACTTTGCAATTTATTAAAAGTAATTTTTTTTATTTAAATTAACTTTTAACTTTGCAATTTATTTATTTAATTCATACCGGGTGATGACATTAAAATTTTATTTGGTATATATATATATTTTTTTTTTGAATAATTTTTTAACATAAAAATATTTTGAAAATAAAATAAATAATGACATTTATTATATAAGTAATTTTTTAACATAAGAAAATTATTCCAAAAGAAACTAAAGTTCATACATTGAAATAGAAATATATATATAAGGTATTCACTCGTTGTCACCCCAAAAAAAGTGCTTGACGTCGAGACTAATCCTTGACTAACCTAGAAGAGGCGCTCATCCCAGAAACCTTCTAGCCTGCACTTGATTGAGCATCACTTAAGATGCACTGTCGCTCAAAGGGAATTAAGCATGAGTTGGGAGGTTGCCAATGGTACTCGCCCGCCAATCAAGCTAAGCAATGGTGAGTTAAAGTTTTATATTTGAACCGGTCCAAATCAGACATCATTAAAATTGAATCTTTGTGGGACGGCCATTGAATATGTTCTTTCTATTCAAACTGGCAATTCAACAGTTCAAATCAGGTTCAAATAAATCACGGCTTTGAATTTGTTCTTCTGCACATCAATTCAAGCTCCTACTTACCAATACTTAAATTTTAATCAAAAAAACATATTAATTAAATTAAATTAAAGGCTCAATCCAACCTCAGTTAAAAGAGAAGATTCACGTTCATAAAATAAAATTAATTAACCAACTCATTGAGACCATCTTTATCAAAAAGCTAATTAAAGCACTAAAAAACTAAAAAAGATACAAAGCTAAGCTCCCAATGAGACCTCTACAGAAAACGAAAACTCATGACAAAACCACATCTACTTGCTAAAGCCTAAACAAACTTCCCTCTATATATATAAAACAAAGAGGAAGCAATACTAGCGTTTAACTAGGGAAAAAAAACAAAAGATGGCAAAGAAAGCACGCACCTCTCATAAGCCATAAGCCTGCTCTCGTGATGTGCTATGATGTTAGTTGCAAGTTGTCCAGGTAGAAGGGAGGCGAGTGGAGGTGACTGGAGGCAAGTTTCGGATATTTACATCTACAGGCAACAAGCGATACTCGATGTCAAGTTCCTTGAGCACTCTGATCAATTCCACTATCACAAGCTCTCGTCTTGTGAACTTCATCCCCATGTCCTGAAAGTTTATGCGGTGGCGCATCCAGATCGATATTTGTAACCTGTTCATATCATCGACGTCCTTGAGGACCACTTGAGCACCTGGGTGCCAGTGCTCCTTCTTACTTTCCATGAATCTGTAAGAACAATAATGAATACTATATGTTTAAATATAGATAGCATTGATTACAGATATTTGTGTGGTAAATCTGCTTTGGCAGCTTAGCGCATAAGAAATTTATGTTAAATAAGAAAGGAACAATAATATAGCAGTTAAGTAGTCAATGTTTCTAATGAAACTTAAGGTTTCGTTTGGGATGGTTTTCTTACTGTTTTTTAAAGCAATTTTTTAGTATAAATTTTTAATTTTTGTATTAAACAACTTTTTTAAAGAAGCAGTAAGAAAGCCGTCCCAAACAAAGCCTCATTTTATTAAATGCAGAGCGCTGCAAGCAAGTCGTCTTATATACAATGTCAAAAATTAAAAAACTTAAGTACAGATGTGCTATATGCTTGATAATCAAAATAAATTTATATTCGAAAATTTAAAAACTTAAGTTGACTACATGAATCTTTTTTCTCTATTGTGTCATGTTAAAAAGTCAAATTCTTGATTAAATCTAATGAAGAAAGATCATTTTTAATATTTTATAACCAAGTCTTTTTAAGTCAATTTATATCTTTCTTAACATAAATTTAATTTCAAAATATAAAGTTCAACATATGATGGTTTTGAATATATCTGAATTTTTCAGAATCAAATACTCTTATATTTCTCATTTTATTTTTCATTCAAATCACTCATACTGCAAAATGTCCTCTACCCTCTACGTACTTGAATTATTTACCAACTTATTATCTATCCAAAAAATTACAATATATTCAAAATGCAGAGGATTTCTACTTTGTTGCTCCTTACCCTAAGGAAAAAATATAATTCACAAATTTGTTTTTCTCCTAAATTGCCATTCATTACCCCTCACCTTTGTAGAAAAAATCTCTACTCTAAAATTAGTCACCCCTACATAGAGCAAGCCAATACCAGAGCCGCATTCAACTCAATCATTACATGCTTACCAAGGAGAAAGACATTCATGCAAGTCCAATCAATCAAATCAAATTCTAACACAAAATTCGCTATGTGAAACATCGAGCCTGCTAACAAATATACTTCAACTAAACATCCCTTATGCTTATTCTGATCACATTAAAAAAAATTTCTTTGTCACCATTCCTTCCTTGTAAGCCTCCATACTAACCAAAAACTATTTTTTGTGGCTTTAAATAATGAGAATTGGAATAATGTTATAAGAGAAGAAATGGAAGCACTATAGAAGAACAAATATGGGAAGCGATAACACTAGAAAATGAAAAAAATAATAGAGTGCAAATAAGTTTTTACAAGAAGTATAAATTCAACACTAGTGGCGAAAGACTACAATCAAACATACGAGATTGATTATCGTGAAAATTTGGCTCTTATTGCTAAAAGCCTAAAATGAATATTTTTCAAGTTTTTATCATTAACAACAAATAAGGAATGAATACATCAACTTGATGTGAAAATTACCTTCTTATAAAGTGGTTTTTAAATGACGATCTAGAGGAGAAGATATCTAAGGAGGTCCCATCGAGTTTTGACTCAAACGCCGAACATAAGGTATGTAAATTGAGAAATTCATTGTATGGATTGTAGCAATCTCCAGGGGCATAGTTTGAAAAATTCGCCAAGGTAAAGCTCGATGTTAGATACAAATAAAGTCAAAGTGACCATACATTATTTATGAAACGCATGACTTCAAGGGGAGTCTGTGTACTAAGTCATGTCAACAACATCATCATTGCATATAGTGACTTGGAATGTATAGTCTTTCAAAAAACAGGTTGCTCCAAGAATTTGAGATCAAAGAATTATGTAAGTTAAAGTAGCAGGCAAGTTAGAATATAAGCCTGTTGAGAGCAGCTTGAAATATAAGTATAAACTTCAAAATGCTCTGAAAGGCATAACAATAGAAACTTTTCCTATAAAAAACTTGAGAGAAGACTTATCCATTTATTACATACTAGACTTAATATTATTTATATTGTTGGTATGGTAAGTCAATTTATACACAATCTTAATGAATCACACCTTACAGACTTAGAGTTGTATATCAAATTTTGCAATATATGAAATGAACTCCAGGTAAAGAAATTTCATGTTGAAGGGGGGAGGATTTGCCACTTAAAGCTTATATAGATGTTGATTGTGCATTATCTATAAAAAATAGGATGTCAACTTCAGGATATTAAACATTCTTTAGAGGAAAACTTGTGACTTCAAAAAAAAATTTGTGATAAAATCTAACGTAAAAGCCAAATTTAGATCTATAGCACTTGGAATCCTCAAACTGTTAATGATTGAAATTATCCTTAGGGATTTAAAGGTTAATGGAAATGTCCTATGAAACTCTATGGTTGACTTGTTTCATGGTGATAAGTCAACCATCAATATTGTACACATTCTCATACAAAATGACCAAGCAAAACATATTGAAGTGAATAAGCTTTTAATAAAGGATATGATAGACCATGACATAATATGCACTCAATTGTTTTGCCACAAAATGGATAACTTACGGGCATTATTACCAAAGTATTATTGAAAATAATATTTCGAAAATTGACATGCAAGCTTGAATGGACATCCATTTATTCACTTGAAGGGGAGTGCAAATATCAATTCAACAAATCAATTCCTGCACAATTCCATCTAACAAAAATCCAACACGAGGATCCACCTCTAACTTCTCCCCTCTTTAGTCCATTGCTACCTCATTGATCCAAGTGCTTGTGGATGCAACATCACCAATCCTTATGGGTTATTTTATTTTAATTAATTATATTTGTTAAATTTTAGCCCACAATTTTGTCTATTTTAAAATTAGAAGCTCTCCAAGAACTATGAAAATACTAGGCAAATGCTGGAATAAAACTCAATTAGTTCTCTCTAATTATTGTCAAATGAGTCGTACACTGAACTTGAACTCTTAAAATTATAATTGAAAACAGAAATTCATTCAAATCAAAATTTTCAATTATATACCTCAAAACAACTATTTACATAATCCTCATAACCTAAATTGGTAACCTTATATTAACAACAACACACTCCGCTGACTAAAAATGGCAAAATAGGTAAAATAGCCCAACATAAGCCATAATATCACAATTCTTATCCGCACAACACCAATGTAGATAAATTCAAAGACCCACCATTTGAATCACACTGCAACTCTTGGCAAAGGTTGGTGATAGGAAATACTTGAGTTCGCAAGTAATCCTATCGGATTTACTTGAGTTCACAAGCAAACCTAATCAATAATTAGTAAAACAGCGAGAAAACAAAAGAAACGTGGTGGAAGAACAAACAAACGATATCAAACTCTTATAGCAACCAATGGGAAACAAGACAAAGCAAAGATACAAGAGATCCTCAATTCGAGGGGAGGATTGTCTCTCCCAAATCTCTAGACAAGATTGTCTAGAGCCCAAGCCTCCAAGAAACCCTAATTGCAATCAATCAAAACAGAACATCTTCCTAATCCTCTCATGCACTTTAATACAAAAGCTTTCCTAATCTAATTTCCCTCCCAAAACATTAGCCGCTCCTCTCTCTCAATTTGAAAATCAAATAATGGGTGGGACCCATTCACTTATGCGGCCACAGAAGAAGAAGAGGCGGACTGTGTCCGCCTCTTGTACACCCGCTGGACCGGCCAGCGGGCTTGCTGGGCCGGTTCGGACAGAACCGTTGTAATAGTTGGTGAACAAAATATATTTCACCCAACTCTCTGCAGCACCAACTCAGGGCATTGGCTTGTCATCGTGGTGGGATACATGCCATTACAGTGTTGGTGCAAAATATGAAAGATATATGCAAAGCACAGCACAATATGATACATGCCTAGGCTAGTCAGTCAATGACAGTCTTTAATGCGTGGTATTACAATCTTATTCATTGTATGTGCATAAGTCTAGTTGATTTAAGAAGAAAATCAATAGATCATTCAGTTTTAGGGATTGTTTCATTGCTGAAAAAGTAATTCAGAGTAAAAGAAATGCACTATAAAAGGATGTATTTGAAATGTTTGAAGTTACTTAGATGAGTATAAAAGGAATACATGATATTAATTTTTCTAAAGGTGAAAAAGATTTTTGCTCAAAACTGTGCAAGTTTACTTTTCCTAAAAATTGAACTAGAGTATTTTACATTGCATTCCTTTTTCATCCAACTAAATTCTAATATTTTTGAAACCCCTGCAAAAAAATACTTTACACCTATTTTACTTCAAACCAAACAACCCCTTAATTAAAACAAATACTTTATAACATCTGAAAACAAGAAGTATTTATAACTAGCAATCACTTACGCCATTATTTTTTCTCTCATGAGAACAAGCTTTTCCAGCGGAGTTGCAACGTGAACACAAAAGTCAACATTATCTCCCATATCAGGACTTCGATAGAAATTGCCAATGGGTAATGTAGCAAGCACAGAATTTGGATATGTTATCTTCTGGTTGTCAGATCTCAGAAAGATCGTTGTCAAGATATTCATCTCCTCCACAACCATCTGAAAGTTGTCAGACTAGCTCAGTTACCCAAGTAAAAAATTTACATTATGCTTCCACTAAAAAAAGAAAAGAAGTCCAGTTCCTGTGGACAATTACCTGAACACCATTCACTTCACAACGATCACCAACATCAAAGGGATGCATAATAAATAAGAAAATCATAGCTTCAAATGTCGTCTTAAATGTGTTGCCAAAAACAAATACCAAAAGAAGAATCTGAGAGCTAAGAAAAACAAAAAAGTGAGTTGTAGCAATGTTCAGAATAAGAAGCCAGATTGCAATTATGATAATGGCAACAACGACATTTGCAATCTGATGAAGCTTGTTCACGGCTGTTTTGGTATCATTTAGTGTCAAAGAAAGGGCTCTACGCTCTCTAAACGTGTTAACCTGCAAAATCGTTATGCAAAAGGATTCAAGAAATAGAATTTATAAAAGCATGATATGCATAATAAGATCCTAAAACTGTACCACCCAATCCTTGAGAATCCTCCTGCTGACTCGGTCATCCTGTGTTCCATTAAGAAGACTCATAGTTTTTACTGCTTCATCTTCCCTCATGAATCGCATCAAATCCACCAAGTAAATATGCCTATCAATTTGCAGTCATCCATAATTTTCTACGTCAACATAGTTATGAAAGAGAAAAGAAAGTAAAACATAGCAAAATTTCCAGTGAACTAACATAAAGGTTGTTATTGACTTATTACCACACTTTCGACAAGTTTATGTCAAATAGCAGTACGTGAAAAATAGTGAACTTATTAGTTTACACAAACTTGGGAGCAAACTGCTGCTTTATTATTTCTAATAGCGAAATATGCTTCACTTAATGATAATTTTCCCTCGTGGTTGATAATAATTACACATGACAATCATTATCCAAAGCAGTTCAGATCAATTAGTCAACTTTAAGATAAGGCTAACATTATCATAGTTAGCCTTTTGGAATCTATTTTATGAAGCCTCCTATCTTCTCTTCCATTAATTCCTGTGGATGTAATATGAGATATCAACTATATTTTACACTTAATTTAAGAAAAGTGCACTATTGCTAATGCTTCACTAAGTTCACTTTATGCTCTCCACCGATAAGGCTCTTGGCGCACCACCAGCCCCTGTTAAACTGGAAAGATCCTTTGTGCCCTTGATGGCATTTGGATGGAGGAGGTGAGAGTTACATCATATCCTTTGATTTCATATCATTTTATGGAGCATCGGAGTTAAATATGAAGCTAGATAATGCATGAATCTTTAGTGTGGCAACCACATAACTTGAAAACCAAAACCAGATATAATCTAAAACTTACCTGAGACCTATTATTAGGTGTTTATTTTTATTTTTATTTTTTCTTTCACATTTCGAATTTTTAGTGTTAAGTATTAATTTCTTACATGATTGATAATTTTATTGTTAACATGAACGATAATTTCTTTGTTTATGTAAATAATGATTTTACTATCCATATTAACAAGAATTTTACAGATCATAAACCTTGGAGTGGAAGAGGATCCAGGACGTAAAACTTGACTTTTGAGGAGTGTGAGAGAGTTTGATGAGGTGAAGGAAGCTTACGTTTGAATTTGGAGCATATTTTAGCTTGAGGAGTTTGTGTTGTTGTTGAATAGTGACGAGGACATCGTCAGAGATTTTGACAAGTGTACTATCGGAGACATCGGAGATCGATGGCTAAGATCAAGAGCTTATTTTTTTTTGAGTCATTTATGTAGTAGTTTATTTTATTTTCAGTTTTTACTGTTTTACCCTTATGGGTAGTCATTTGTTGTTGTAGCCCCGAGGGCAATTTAGTCTTTGTTTCTTTTCTTTTTGGTGAGACCTATATATAGATCATTTCTATTGTATTTGGGGAGGATGAATATTGATATGAAATTTCAGCTTTGGTTTTGGATCTCTTTGTGAGTTTTAGAGTGAGTGGTGAAGCCTAGGAGAGGCTCAATCGAAGTACCCAATAGCCCCTGCGAGTGAGCTCTAGGTTTTTCCTCTATCTCTTCTTCTTCTTCTTCCCCTAATCTCCCCACCCGAGCTCCCTCCTTCCTCCACACCCGACGGCCACCATCACCTCCCTTCCTTGTGTTAGCCTCACCTCCCAACCTCATCAACACCTCCGGCCCAAAGCTTACTCCCAACCACCCGAGCCAAATTCCCCCTCCCCTTCCCCTCATGCCGCCGGCCACCTCTACAATCCCCACCATTATGATGATCTTCCTCATCATAATTGCTTTCCTAAGTTAAGCCAAGCTAATAGGGAAAGAATTCAAATTATTTGAAATTCAAATTTTGAATTTCAAATACTTTCCTATTTTTGAAATCCTAAATAAGGAAAGTGAGTTAATCTAGATCTAATTTGAATTTCAAATTAGAGTGGATATCATAATTTCTTTCCCAAATCACATAGCTTGTTTTGGAAGCTCATAATTCCCCCCACATAACTCCCCTCCCCTCTAACTAGCCGCCGGCCCCCATTGAGTCCCACCCGCCGGCCAACCAAGGCCAAGCCTTGGAATTTGATTTTCAAATTCAATTAAGCCTTTGTTGCCTTCCTAATTTGTTCATTTGTCATTTAGGAAGTTTCATATTTGAGATTCAATTTGAAATTTGAACTTTAAATCCCTCCTTAAATGACAAAATCCAATTAGGGAACTACTCAATGCAAATCAAATCTGAATTTAAATTCAGAATTTGATTTAATTAAGTTTGCAATCAATTGGGCCCCACATACATTAAACCTAGACATATTCCCTCAACCCCTATGGCCGTCCCCCTCTTCTCTCCCCTTCTCTATCCACTTTGCCACCTAAGCAACAATTAAACCCCTCATAAATCCCTTAATGACTGCCGGCCCCCATTACTCCCTTAATTGTGTTAATTTGAATTTCAAATTGATCATTCCCCTTAATGAAAATCTGAAATTAAACTTCAGATTTTCCCTCTCATCTCATTTCCCCCCAAGCTATTTGTTTCAACCCAAAGACCCCAACCCTAGCCGCCCCCTCACCCTCCCAAGTCTTCTCCCGTCATCCCCTCACCTTCTCCTCACCAATCTCAAGAGAAATCCTCCCAACCGTCACCACCATGCATGGTCGATCTGGAAGTCGACCATGGTTTCTTATTTGATAATCAAGGACGAACCAATATCCTTGTATCTCCTTCTTCGTCGTGAACCTAGACGCGGACTCTTCTGTAGAGGATTACTTGAAGTGCGTCCTTTTACGTTAGCACCTTCTATTAAGGAGCATATTCATCCCGGACGTTGGATACTCACTAGTCATCCTGTGGACTCCCTACCGCCGGCTACTTCTCCAACGGACTATACCTTGGGCACCATTTGTCTCCTAGTGGCATTGCTCGGTTTGCTCTCAATCTTCCTCCGTTAAAGCCCCCACCGTCAAGAGCGTTAGTGAGGGACCAAGGTGAAAAGTCCTTTTTGTTAACTGTGGATTATTGTTTCTTCACCATAACATTACTCTCTTTATTTTATGTTGTTAACTTGATAGCATCCCGTTAATCTAGTTGTAACTACATGTCTTGCATAATCTCTAATTGATAATTCCGAAAGTCTAACTTGGGTAAGCATCAATTCTATAACTAGCAAAGTTTTAATAATCTTATATTAAAATCCCTAAGCAGTTCTTGTTCCTTTGCATGGTTTCACATCAAATAGTTTTAAGTAAATCGTTTTAAATTTAAGTTCGAATGGCTGACTGATTTTTTTTTCCATGGTTGGGGGTAGTTAGTCGAGAAATTTTTTAGACATTGTCTGCAATACATGAGGTTACGATTTGTTGGGAGTAATTGTGAATTCAACATTGAACATAAGTGCACTGCTTCGCATGTAAATTTGAAATGATTAGTTGATTATGTTGCGTGGATTAATTATTGGTTTGAATTCAAGCGTTTTTTTTTTAGAGAAAAAAATATGGTCAATTTGAAGGTAACCTCAAGAGGGAAGGATGGGTTACTATTTCATGTAAACAATAATTTTATTGTTTATATGAGCAGCAATTTTATAATGGTACTATCAATAAATATCAGGAATTTTGATTGGCCGGAAAGAGAAAACATAGAAAATTAATTGAGAAAACTGAAGTTAAAAGATGAATCCTTTTCACCTTGATGTTTGCTATCGAATAACACCAAATCTCCGGACAGTGGCAAGTTATCGGACATCCACCAACTTCTTCCCCTCAGACTAACTTTTCATTGGATAAAGCCGTAGGTATTCTCTTTCTTTTGGTGGCATCTTTAGGTTTGCTGAAATTATTCTCCCGCTGACTCCACCATCAAGAGTAAAAGTGAGGGGAACTCGAGGTGAACTTTCTATTTGTTAAACAGTAAAATTTTTTTATTTATGCATCTAGCGTTACCAAAATTTTGTTCTTATTTTAAATTGTCCTGTTAATTTTTCTTGTAACCGCATGCCAAAGTCAACTACAACTAAGAAATCCTAGACCCCTATCTTGGTGAAACATTGAGTTTAAATTTAGCAAAGCTTAACAACTTGTTATTCATTCCTAAGCAATTTTTGTTTCCATATATGTTTCACATCATGATGGGTACATGGAAGGTGGAGACGGGTCAGGGGATATGTATAGAAGTATTGTTAATCATACAGGGAGTTCAGGTGAGGAAAGATTTTCTTCCATTAGAGTTAGGGAGCACTGACATCATCCTGGGAATGAAGTGGCTGCAAAACTTGGGGGAGCATTGAGGATGGAGCTGATGGTGGACGGGAGAAGTGTACTGATCAAGGGAGATGCAGGACTCACCAAAGTCATGATATCACTTAAAACCAAGGTGATAAAAAGACATGAGGTGGGGGAAGGTTATCTTATGGATCTACATAGACTGGAGGGGATCATATTGGAGGAGGGTAGGGACAATCCTCTTTTAGTACAACCATTGATTCAACTGTTCAGTGAGGTTTTTCAGCCGCCTCAGGGGTTGTCTCCTCCACGGGGACATGAGCATGCTATCATCTTTGATATATCATCAAAAAATTATCCTGATCGGACACGAATCTCGAGGAAAAAATCAAGTTGAAAACTTCAAAAATTAAATCTGGGATCATCTGAACTCCGATTTCAACAAACTTACAGTCAAACTGAACGTCTCGGAAATGTGAACCCAACGACACCAAATTCAACTCAATTTGAGCCAAAATGGGTTCAAATCGAAGACCCGAAGCACATTCGGAAGGTTCAATCCATAATTTGGATTACCAAACATTTTTCAGATATGACATGCTTAAAGTCGAATCGAGCGGCTCGACGAGACGATCTAACAAGCCCAAGATTGCCGAATTTTGATACCACTCCACATTTGCCCTTGATCCTCCGCCTATTTACAGGTCATGCCACTCTTAGAAAACTATAAATAGCCCCTCATTTCTCTTAAGAGGGGACCAAAGCAATAAGAAGAAGAGAAGGAGAAGAGAAGAGAAAAAGGATAGGATGGAAGAAACTCCTCCTCGACCACTGCCGAGATTCCGCCAAACTTCCAAGTGACGCTGGAATTCTGCCCGACTTCCAAGTGACGCCGGAATTCTGCCTGACTTCCAAGTGACGTCAGAATTCTTCCCAACTTCCAAGTGACGTCAGAATTCTGTCCGACTTCCAAGTGACGCCGGAATTCTGCTCGACTTCCAAGTGACGCCGGAATTCTGCCCGACTTCCAAATGATGCCGAAACTCCGCCCGATCTCCAAGTGACTCTGGAGTTTTGCCCGAATATCATCTGACGCTAGAGTTCTCCCTGGCTGACGACTGACTTCAGACTTCTGCCCAACATAGGACTTTTGCCAGTTGTCGGACTTTTGTAGGGTATCTATCCGATGCTGGATTTCTATCCATTGATGGACTTCTACCTGACACAGTCCTTCCGACCTTTGTCGCCCGCTGACTACGATCCTTCTGGCTTACGTCGTCCACCGACTACAGTCCTTCCAACCTCCGTCGCCCGCCGACTACGGTCCTTCTGACTTACGTCGCCCACCTACTACAGTTCTTCTGACCTCCATCGCCCGCCGACTACAGTCCTTCTGACTTACGTCGTCCACCGACTACAATCCTTCAGACCTTTGTAGCCCGTCGACTACGGTCCTTCTGACTTATGTCTCCCACCGACTACAGTCCTTCCGACCTCCGTCGCCCGCCGACTACGGTCCTTCTGACTTACGTCGCCCACCGATTACAGTTCTTCCGACCTCCGTCGTCGCCGACTACGATTTTTTCGACTTACGTCGCCCACCGACTACAGTCCCTCCGACCAAACAAACACATCAACAGTGACTCTTTATATTCACACCATGTAATGCACTCTATAAGATGTACATCAAGCTAACAAGGACTCCCCCAAAGAAGGGCCTCATTTGTAATCGACTGCAAATAATAGTGGATTCATTCAAACTGGCCTGGCCCCGTGGTTTTTCCCCCTTTTCAGGGGTTTTCCACGTAAAAATCTTAGTGTCTCATATAAATGCTGCAACCTCTTTTATCTAATTGCGTGCCGGATTTTCGTATAAAGTTAAGATGTTAATTTTATATTTCTCTACTACTTCGAATACTACAGGACGCAACAATCTTGAAGGAAGTAATTTCACCTATCAGTGTTCATCCATATCGTCATCCCTAAATCCAGAAGGATGAGATCGAGAGATTGATTAGGGAGATGTTGGAGGCAGAGATCATTCAACCAATATCAGTCCATTTTACAGTCCAGTTCTATTAATCAAGTGCTTTAGCAATAGTTTCCTTCGTTCCACCTTGAGGACAAGGTGGTACTTTAGGAGGGGAGCATTATTAGACCGATCCACTGGACCAGTCCAGCTGGTCCGACGGGACCGGCGGCTTACGCGAACAAAGGCGGACTTTTCCACCTATATGCGTCGAACGTATGCCCAGGTGTACGTGGGTTGTTTAGGAAGGATTTTTTAGAGAGTCAGGAGAAAAATTTGAATGTGAGGACTATTTAGGGATTTCCTTTTGATTTGTATACACTATACATTAAATAGTTTGTTTTCCTAGGGTTAGGACATCTTGAATTTGGTTGAAATTTGATATCTCATATGTTTTCTTTGGGCTCTAGCGGTGTCTAGAGATTTGGGAGAAATAGATCCTTCTCTCAAATAGAGGATCAAATGTATCTTGTTATTTTCTTCCGTAGTTTATTTTTTTGCAATAAAATTACTGGTTTTCAATGATTTTCCATTGGAATAGTGGAGATTTCTTGCTGTTTTTACTCTCTTAAGAGGATTTACTTGAAATCTTCAAGTGTTTCCTATAACCTCCATATTAGATCTTTCTCACATAAAATCAAATTGATTCTCTATCTTCGTTCTTTTCATGTACATTTTGATTTAAACTATCTAAAACTTTTTTCTTTAGCTACTCCATATAATTTGTTATCACCTTCGAAAACAATTGAGTTGTTCTTAAATCATAAAATATTATCCTTTGGCTTCGCTTTCTATCCATCTCTGTTGTTCTTAAATCATAAAATATTATCCTTTGGCATTTTTTTCTATCCCTCTTTGCAGAACTATTTGCTTTTTTAATGATCTTTTTATATCTCAATAGTATGTTTTATTTTTTTCCATTTTAAAATCAAATCTTTTCTTTAAAATTGTTCATACCTCCTCATCGCATCATCAAATCTTTGAAGTCATGCACAATCCATTTTTAGACTCCTACAATTTCAAAGATAATATTTTGAACGCAAATGAATATTCCCATTGCTTTGAACTCATTTGCAGCAAATTTTAAAGAAAATTATATATATATATCACTCAAAAATAAGTACACATCTAACTACTCCGATAAATAATAATTGTGGAGGAGCACAGAACGCTCATAAATTTCTACCTTCTTCTTCCGCACCCCTATTCTTAGACAAATGTTGCTGTCAACAAGAGCCATGAAAACTACACAGGGTGAATAGACAAATCAACAGTGTTTTCAACCGAAACAAACCCGACATACGGTATGTACAGTCACGTTAGCACATAAGAACCATCCAATATCACAAAGTCCAACCAGAAAGTGCACTCAAATTACTAAACTAGCACATGACCGCAAAGAGAAACCGAGCATGTATTGGCAAGTAAATAAGTCAAATTTCCACATATTTTTAAAGTAAATATGCACTTGCTATTAAAGCATAATTTGAATAAAAAAGGGCATGGCTCACTTGGCACCAGGCTTGGCAACATTACTGAAGATCTTCTTTGCCGCTATCTTTGCCTCGTGTTCACTCTTGATCTGCACAGTTGACTCGTCCTCCTCAATTCCCATTGTTAATTGCTCATCAAGCGTCGTTAATGTGCCGAGCCTAACAATTCTCATCAGCCTCTTCATGTTCCACGCCGATATATTTTTTTGATTAAGCTTATGCAGCAGGTCAATGGTGATCCCTCCCTCCTGCTGCGACTGCTGCCCGCTAAAATATCTCCTAGATGCGGTATCAGAAATCTTCGTACTCTTTCCAATTTGAGAACTCTTAAATCCTGTCCCTCCATGGCCAATTCCACCACTTCCTCCTATTACCCTTCCATTTTTAGATGAAAAGGCCGCCGCCCTGATGTCCTTGGGTATGGTAGCGCCAGCATTCTGCAGCTTCTGCATCTCATTCATCATCCGTTCCTCCTCCTCCATGTTGTGCTTAATTTCAACGAGAGGCGGACCTGAGAGAGTCTCGATAACATATTGATTGAACAAAGCTTCTTGAATCCGATCAAAATATGTGCTCACGTGGAAGGACGAAGCTAAAACCTTGACCAGAAGAATCTTGATGAGGCGTAAGACGGTGGCGATGATGAAGCAAAAGAGGATTTTAGTTATATACGAAAGCATCTTGTTCTCTCCCACCACCTTTTTGTCGAAGAGGAAGTGCCAAGCGAGGAGAACCAGGCCAAACCAGATGCAGGTCTGAACTGCCCTGCGCACTCCGTACACGAAGTAGAGAAACCGCTTGCGGAGGAAGAAATTGCGCTCAAGGAAGAAGACAATGATGCGGATTAACCATCCGGAGAGAAGGCGGCCTGATATAAGGGCGAGGACGAGCACTTCCCATTTCCATAGATGAAGCCCCCAAAATGTTTGACGTGCAAGCTTGGGTATGGCGAGGCTGCAGATTAGGGCAGCAAGAGCAAGGACAAGACCGATTAGCTCCAAGATTGTCCAGTTGCTGATCTTGGTGCTCTTAAACTCCTCCGGTAAATCCTCAAAGGGATCCTCCTCGTCCTCTTCGACGCGAGACTTGCCGAGCAAGCCAGACCGTTGAGGGATTTGCCCAGACCTGTTCGGCATACGCATAGATTTCTTCTCGTCTGAGCCGCCGCCTGCAGGAGGATCCATAAGCCTAGACCTTGTCTTGGCCCGCAGCAATGGTCTGCTCCGGCAAAATGACGAGTTGGAGGTGCATCGCAGGACCTCGGTGACGGCGGTGCCGTCCTTCGAGTGGGAGCTTGCGGCCGCCGAATTCTGGCGAAGTTCCGGCCCTTCGACGTGGTCATCGGAGTCTTCATCGTCGTCCGATTCCATACGCGAGTTATGGGATGGCGGATTATTGGAAACGTCGTGGAAGGAGACGCGCTGCTCCTTGGATGAAGGGGAAGACGAACTCGTCGTCGGCTTCCTGAGCTCCTCCATCTCGAGATCCATGTCCAGCGCCATCTCGGCGCCGGCTATTTTCTGCTTCTTCAGAAACGAACTTATCAGTCGCGACGGAGGATCCTCGCTGATCTCTGGCAAATCCTTCTTCTTCGGACTCTGAAATGAAAATCCCAACCCATTCCCACCTTCTCCGCCACCCCCATTGTCAACATGCCCTTCCTCCCAAAAATCATAACTAGATTCTCTCCACACCTTGCTATTATTCACGCCAGCAGCAGCAACAGAGGTATTCCCGTTCTTCATTTCCATATCGTCGCTCTCGCCGTCAACCTTGATGACCACCTCCCGGCGACTTCCGGATTCTTCAAGAGGATCGCGGGAGAGAATCGGCCGTTCGTCCTCAGACTGGTTCCAAGCAGAGGATATCTTGTAAGAGCTGTGCGATTTGAATGATTTCCGGAAAACGTTCATGATTTAGTCAGCTCAATGCTGCTCGTTTCGATGATTCCGTAGAACGGTGAGCATCAGAAGTCAGAGAGATCGATGGTTTGCATTTCTCTTTCGAAAAGATTGGGGAAAGTTCGAGAAAAAATTACGTAGTCTTTCTGGTTCGGATCACGTGTTAGAGAGCCAGAGGCTCGGCGAGGCCAATTACAGTCTTCCTTTGCTGCTTGGGAACCTGGAAGCGAGCGATTGCAGGAGAAGGTGGCGGAGCCACTGCAGCAAGAAATAGCATAAAGATTCGATCAAGATGGACACGTGGCAGCCGTGAATGAAGTTTGGGCAGCGGTGTTTCGTGTGTTGCTCCGAATCGCTGATCGTGATGGTTTACGCGACGGTTCGGCGCGCTTTAGGAAATATCAATTAGTGCACAGTGCCGCGTGTAAGCAAAAGAAGCAATTGTTTATGAACTTTTATTTGGTCCGATGAACGCAACTCTAAGTTCGGCCGTCCGTAGAATCGCGCCACGTGCTTTTATTATTTATCGTGCGTCTAATAACCCAATTTGGAACGGACCCAATATTGCTCGGTATTGCTAGGTATTGGTCGATTTTGCTCGGCAATAACTAATACCGAGCAAAACCGAGCAAATACCTAGCAATACCAAGCAAATACTGAGTTGTACCGAGTTTTTTCTAGCAAAACCGAGCAAATCCCTAGCAATACCGAGCAAATCCTGAGCAAATACTGAGTTGTACCGAGTTGTAAAAAAACTCGGTACAACTTATTAAATTGTGTACACTATGTGAAATATATAATTGTGAAGCTCTTTATTTCACATATAAAGCTACATTTTTTATCACATGATAATTTTTGTTTTTTGACAAAACTTGAAAATGTATTAAACGTTTACTACTAAAGTTTACCTCAATAACATGAAATGAATTTGCTCAAGCTATTAAATTAATTTTTATTATAATTTGGACATCAAAATCTTACATTTATTTTCAGATAAGTGCCATATAAATTTTGATTGATTATTCATATATTAGGTTCATCTTAAAATAAATATAATAATTTATATACACATTTTGACAAGAATATACTCAAGAAATTTTTATAAAAACTTTTTTCACATTAATAATAATAATATATAACATTATTAAAAAAAAACTTAAGTTAAATGCTATTAAAAAATTTTTAAATAATGTAATTCTTTTTTTTTTTAAGTTAGATGATTTTAATAGGATAAAATGGAGAAAAAAATTTATTTAGCTGGCCCCACATAGTGAAATAAAAAATTGATGATGATGTTGTTATTGTTGTAATTTTTTTTTCTTTTATTTTTCAAAAAAAATTCTATAATTGTATAGATAATTTAAACTTGAGCAAAATGCACTCTTATTCATCTTGATTAAGGCTTCGTTTATGATAGTTTTTTGTTGCTTCTTAAAGCAATTTTTTAGAACCAAAATAAAAATTTTATGCTATAAAGCTATTTTAAGAAGCACCAAAAAAATCGTCCCAAACGAAACTTAAGTTAGCCAAATCTTCATGAGAACTTGAATCAGGCTCAACAGGCCGCTAAATGTGAAAATAGAAATCATGTGTTATCGAAAGCCTAGGGAGAACAATTCTATGGCAAGGCCATTATTGGCCTATTTCGAGAAAAGATGGTAAAATTAAAACCTTTAACAATGCAGTGCTTAAACTAACAATTGATGGAAGAGTACTACATCAATTTAGTTAATTTATCCAATCAATCATTTTATTTTAGCAACTTTTCATGTTAGTTGTCATTTTTATGGGTGCCAATATTTGAAACGATCTAAAAATTTAACTGGAATTCGACAAAAAAATTTTGAGTTAGAGTCAACCCATTTGGCAAACAGGTCGGGTTCAGGTTCTAAATTTTGGCCAGTTTGAAAAATTGGGTCAGGTCTAGGTCTACCCGTTGACCCGAAAGTGGCCCGGGTCTGACATGAACTCGACGCCCAAGCATGATCCACTCCAGCTCGCGTGTTTCAGGCAGCGAAAGCGATTGATTTACCAGATTTGATTATTTGTGTATGCCTGCAAGCCTCAAGGCCTCTCTTGGCTCCTGCAAGGACACAAGTGGCATTTATGTATGCAACGCTAGCAAGGGCTGCAACGCGGTAAGTCGGCAACATCTGTATGTGGCACGCACGCCCGCAAGGGCTGCAATCCTGCAACGCCGCCAAGGCTTAGGGTTTGCTTCGCGCAATCTACGGATCAGAAGACTTGGCAACTTGACGTTCCGCCCGATCGTATTCGCCTGCTTCGCATGTGAGGTAAAGTTGGTTTCATGCTAAGTCAGCTCAACCTAGAAACTTGACTCGGTTCGGGTTCGAGTTGAAATTTCTGAATCGTTTGCAAAAACATGTCTTGTTCAGGTCGTATCAAAATGTAGCAGGTCAATACTGAGTTAAACTTGAACCTGACCTGCAACCCAATTTTAACACCCCTAATAATTTTCTTAAGGCATCTAGCAATGTCTGACCCCATATACTTGAGCAAACTTTAATGTGGCAATAATGCATTCGAATTTAGACTTGTGATAATGAAATTAGAGGAGAATGGTGATCATGACCAACATGAAGGCTGTGAGACAGAGCCTCATCATTCCAAGAGGGCATCCAACCGCTAAGTTGACTTAGGACTACTCTTCCAAATGAGATTGATTCCCAAATCTTCAATGGTTCATGAGCTGCAATAGAGGTTCTTCCATTCATGAAATCCATGAAGATCGAATTACATCATTTTTAATGGAATTGTGTTCAATACCTTGGTTTTTAAGCCACAAGAATGCTTAGATTTCCATATTACACATTACTGCTAATGTATTTGCATCGCTTATTTTCAGTTGGATGACTTGTAGTTTTTACTATTAGTGATTATGTGACTCATGAGAACCTAATCTGAAAAGAATTATTCTTTTATTTTTTAACATACAACAATCAGGATTAGCTAATTTCTTTTATCAATATAAATATTGGCGGAATTGAAATTATCGATCAAAACGTCAATATGCATACATGTATTCATTTCCCAAAAAATTATGTATATTACTTAGGATCTATATAATCATATCACAATTATTTTATCCTGAGTATAAAAGAATAACTAAAATAACAAGAATCTAAACTTGAATGATCATGTCTAATCTCACACCTCTGCTCCCTTACTCTTACCTGAAATCATTTAATCACATATAATAAGCTCAAGAACCCAGCAAGTAACTAAATTCTACAACTGAACTCAAAACACAACAAATGAGCAACATGCATGTCAATAGTTAAATCATAATAAATCCGGGATCATCTGAACTTCAAAAACATGAGTCGAACTTACAGTCGAACTGAGCGACTCAAAAATACGAACCCAACGACACCAAATTCGACTCAATCTGAGTCCAAATGAGTCCAAATCAAGGACCCAAAGCATTGTTGGAAGGTACGAATCACAATTTGGGTTACCAAACGGTTTTCAAACATAACGTGCTTATAGTCGAATCGAGTGGCTTGACGAGACAAATCCAACGAGCCCAAGATCTCTAAATTCAACCATCATTAAGAGTTTCAAATGTCTGACGAACGATCCACAATCAAGGGATTCAATATCGACCGTCCATCTAAACCACTCTACCTTTGTCCTTGATCCTCCTCCTATTTACGGGTCATATCATCCTCAAAAAATTATAAATAGCCCATCATTTCTCTTGAGAGGGAACCGAAGCAAAAATAATAACATAAGAAGGAGAAGAGAAGAGAAGAGAAGAATGATAGGAGGGAAGAAACTCCTCGACCATTGCCGGAATTATGCCCGACGCCCAAGTGACACCGGAATTATGCCCGACGCCCAAGTGGCGCCGGAATTCTACCTGATGCCCAAGTGATGCTGGAATTCTGCCCGATGCCCAAGTGACGTCGGAATTCTGCCCAAGTAATGCCAAAATTCTACCCGACGCCCAAGTGACACCAGAATTCTGCCCGACACCCAAGTGACGTCGGAATTGTGCCCAAGTAACGTTGGAATTCTACGTGACTCAGAATTCAGCTCGAAAACACAACTTGCTTGTAACTGGAATTCAATCCATTGTAATCTGATCGTCCTAAATTTTAAGGACGTGTCAGCCTCTTGTATCTCAAGCAAATACTAGTGTAATTATTTCAACTGGGCGTAGCCCCATGTTTTTTTTTTCTTTCCAAAGTTTTCCACGTAAAAATCCTTGTGTTTTTATTTCTCCCATGTTTGTGTGCTGGATATCCCTACAATGCTGAGACGGAAATTTTCTAACTCTATCGCCGCGTATATTCTAGTCCACAACAAGTAACATTAAAGAAGTTTTCTATGAATGCTATCTCATAAGCATGCCTTTCAAGGATTTTAATTATATATAATATTATTTATAAAAATAACACTTTATTTATAATTTAAGGAGATACTTACCTGAAAGACGTTTTTTTAATCACCAATGACAGTGAAGATAAAATCTTAAATGAAATGAGTAGCTCAACCTATTTAAACTTCTTTAATGATGAAATCTTTTAGTGCATACTAGATGACACTTCTATTCAACAACTACAATATTTTTTTTTACAATGGATCTTATAAAGTCATTTATTTTGAGGCTAAAGTTATTCTTAAAATAATTGTCTAAATATTCTTGATGAATCAAATGTCCAATCTCATCTTACAATTGAAAATATTTTCGGTTGAATGTCCTATTGAATGATAGAAGTGATATTATTAGATTGATTTTTACCATTTGAATTCCTTAGAGGTTTTGGCCACTTTATGTGCTAGAAATTTGTGATATTCCTTAAAATAATAGCCATGGGTATATTTAATATGGTATAATTAGATGATTCATGTCAAATTTTATAATGAATTCAAGCATTTGTTTGAGATTTATTTGATATGCTCCCGGGATTCGATGTGCTTTGAAAGTTTTCTTTTAGTGCATCTCCCTCACTTCGGCTAACCCCCAAAAGATGACACAAGTCCTTAATAATTATTTGGTTGGCAATGAATTACTAGACAAAAAATATGGCTAGATTGACAGAAAGCATGAATAGTTCTACCTGAAAGAGGGTAAAATCATATGTGAGATTGTCCCTAAAGAATTGAGAGAATACATAGCAAAAGATTGTAGTAGAAGCATGTTGATCTAGAGTCCCACCATATGGATCAATTTTAGACAAGTTAAACCCCATTAGAATAG